GTATTCTCGAATAGTATCTTAGACCTCTCACGATCCTCGGACCTCTTACGATCCTCGGACCTCTTACGATGCATCTTATGATACATACCTAGGGAGCGTACCTTACGACTGGTACGTAGGAATGGTATGATACTTCATTCCTTTCTTTGGAGCTTCGTATCGTATACTTCCCTTCAATACGTACGTATCCATTGCAGTTGCTAACTGTGTTAATAGGAATACTGCTTACTATTTCTTAACAGCTATCTAACATTGCTCTTTTATTCAGGATAGCAATAACACCACGAATAACACGGAATAACACGTAGTAACGAACACCATGAATAACACGGAATAACACGTAGTAACGAACACCATGAATAACACGGAATAACACGTAGTAACGAACACCACGAATAACACGGAATAACACGGAATAACACAGCAACAAATCGATTGCTCCTCCGAATCGATTGCTTCCTTCTTGCTTGTTGTTGCTTGCTCTACACGAATAACACGGAAATATACTACGGATCGATTGCTCCCTTGCTTCCATACGAATCGATTGCTCCCTTGCTTCCATACAAATCGATTGCTCCCTTGCTTCCATAAGCAACGAATCGATGCAATGAATCGCAGCAACGAATCGATTGTTCCTTGCAACGAATCATACGAATCGATTGCTCCCTTGCTTCCATAAGCAACGAATCGATGCAAGAATGAATTGCAGCAACGAATCGATTGCTTGTTCCTTGCAACAAATCATACGAATCGATTGCTGCTCCCTTGCTTCCATAAGCAACRAATCRATTGCTTCCATACGAATCGATTGCTCCCTTGTTGCTTCCATAAGCAACGAATCGATTGCTTCCATACGATTCGATTGCTCAGAATCGATCGCTTGTACTAGCTCCTCAGTCTAGCATGTCCCCCATTCCTTTCATCCTTCCTCATCTTTTCAATCAGCTTACTTACAGGTAGATATCCATACACCTCATGGATCCTTCTAACTGCAGAAGTCACTGTGTACCCTCTCTCAGTAAGCCTCTTCATACACTTCCAAATAATCAATCGCTTGCTGTATTTGTCCCTGCATCTGCCTCTCTCAGCAGTAGTAAAATCCCTTGCTGGCTTCCTCCCCCCAATYCCATTACACCATTCGTCCCACAGGAGGGGAATGAACTTAAGATTAGGTGCAAGTGTAGCAGGAGGACCAGGGTGAGAGGTACCAATAGGAGCGTCAGCCTCTATTACTGTTGCAGTAGCACCTCTGCGTCTCCCCCTACCACCAGTCCCTGTAACACCACCGCTACCAAGCCCACTAACAACACTACCGCCAGCACC